CTAGATGATATCGTAACTTGTTGTTCCTTATTTGATTTCCTATTTTGAGCTTAAGATGTAACTTTGTGAAAGCATGCTTCATGCGTTGTATTGAAAGTTCCATTGTTGGTTAAATTGCATCGATATCATAATTTGTGTTTTGATGTTCAAATGTAGTTTAGGAATGACCTTATAGATTCATTTTGAACATAAACGTTAGGTGGCATGACCCACATTTGTTGTTTTCGTATTTTGGATTTCAAGTTGAAGACTTTGAGAATCTATATCTTGTTGCCTTGTATAACATGTTTCCATGTTGTTTGAATTGCATGAATAATGTAATTGTGATATAAATGATCTAGGTAGCTTAGGATGCTCCATGGGTCTCATCTTGATATAGACGTTAGGTGGCATGAGCCTCTTTAACATGTTTCACCATAAGGTGATAAAATTGTAAAATGCTAGGTCGATGCATGCTCATTTCCTACGAGTAGCTTTATGTTACTCACCCCTACGATACTGGGGCATATTTTAAGTACAGGACTCAGGATTTGAAGATTCCATTGCTCCTTGAATGGCTTACAGTTTCTAAGTTTCTATTTTATGCAAGTGTTAGCATAAGATGCCTCTTTGTAACCCTATTTGTTTAAACTTGTATTCGTTGATTCGTATATGTAAAGTGTACGTAAGTGCACTCTTTTCAATGTATTTAACATGTATGAGATGAGGCCGGAGGCCAATGACGTGTATCTCGTTTTCTATGCACTTTTGTTTTCAAAGTTTATTATGAAAATATTGGAAAATGTTAAGTCATTGCTTCATAACTTTCGCATCGGGTGTTGGAATTTCATATATTTTCTCTCCGAACTCAGAATTAGATGATTCTTGAGTCTAATTTTGTTCATTTTTTGTTATCCTTCCAATGGTGTGCATGGTGGCACCCTTTTTAGTGAGAAATGACCATTTTGCCCTTAGTTCATCTCTTTTCGGGTTAGGCATTTTTGTTTCATTTGCTTGGCTCATTTGAGTTCCGTGGCTTCATGGAGAGTCATTTTGGGGCCTTAGGGATGACGTACATCTCTTGAGGTCATTTGGCTTCTTTCGCTACCGCATTTCGGGTCCGTTATCGGGTCAACTTCCGGTTCATCACTAAAGCACCGGGTTGAGAAATCTGGGTCGTTACAGGTTGTATCAGAGCTCCTAGGTTTGAATACCTTAGATGACGGGTTTTGGGTGCATATCATGCTTATGTTGCCATACTCTATGTGTTTATATGCTTGTTGATAACATGTTTTGGTTTGATAACATGTTTATGTGCTTACGTGCTACATATGGTATGCCGTTTGTTTAGCATGATTTAATTATTATGTAAAGAGTATAACATATGATGTATTCTAGTTCAGATTTGTATATGCATAACTGTGTTGCATATTTGGCATGACACGAGATTAGTCATTGAGGCTCGAGTTGAGGTTGATGGTGATTGTAGTCACGGTTGTATTGTAGTTTAGGTTGTTGTTGACTTAGAGTTGGTTTTAAGGTAGGTGGAGAGACACATTTTGTTTAGGCTCTCATGGGGTGAGCCATTAGTCACAACCGTAGTACTGGATTTGTTGATTTTAGGCCATGGTTAGGTTTTGGACCTTTTGGGATCCTTAGTTGTTTTGGAAGGTTCCTCTGAGATTGCAATTTTCGTAGGCGGGTACGTTGTGGGCGGGTGTATGGCACTGTCATGCTACCATACTGGCAAGCTACGAGTATAGTTCGGATGGAATCAGCGTTAGGTTTTGTTCCGACATGTGTAGTCCTTTTGATCGATAATGATGATGGTTGTTTTGGGGATCAGTCGTAGTGATCGATTTGGTTGTCTGATTGTATGGCTAGAGTTACCATTTTCTTTGAGTTCTCCTTGCGCGATGATGCTTTTGGGGTTAAGTCGATTGATAGATGCTTGGGGTAGAGAGAGCATTGCATTGTTAGTGTCACTTGTAGTGTCACCTTTAGATTCAGAGATGGATTGTAAGAGTCTTACCATTGTGGTAAGGGCTCACGTTTGATTTGAGACAGGTTGTTGTTGCATTGGTTTTTGGAGTCAGTGTATGGCTAGGACTGGTCCTTCCTTTTTACTTAGGCACTCTAGGACACGATGTCCATAGGGTTCATTGTTGCATCTCTTTTGTCTTCTGTAGTTTCATTTACTACCATGTTAGTAGTTTGATTTATGATATTGTGATGCATGAGTAGGTGGAGGTCTATCCATGTTTGCCTTCTTGTTGTGTGGCAATAACATGCCTTTCTTATATGCTTCGAGATGCCATGTTGTTACTGCGCTTTAATGACATGCTTTTGTGTTTATATGGAGACGTGCAGTATGTGCTTTTGATTTTCATCTATGTAAGTAGATTTTTTTTCTGGTAGTTGCATTCCTTGTCATATGCATGACTTTCAGGTTTGGTTTTCCCATTCATTTCCCTTGGTCGCACGTAGTCTGTATGCAGGTTTCCACAATGGTTTTGTGTTGGTTCGTGTTAGGGACTTCACAAGGAGTGAGTCTCTTCCCTCCGTTGCGTTGTGCACTGTTTTAGGGTTGGTTGGTCCATGAGGATCATCATTGTTGTCTTGAGTCCTTGGTGAGGATTTGATAGATTTTGGTCGACTTACTTCCATGGAGGGGGTGAAGTCGTTGACTTTGTTGTCTTTCATTTCAAAGACGGAGTCATGGTGTTGTCCTTTTTAGGACCGGTGGTCCCCTTTCTTTCGTGTCTTCCCTTGGGGAGTTCCTGCCATGGTTGTTGACGGTTGTGGTGCTCAAGTGAGTTGATTGGTGTGAAATCATTTTACGGAGACTTATGTCCATATCTTTGAGGATTGTTTGATTCGTGAGGTGAGCTTGATGCTCTTTTGAAAATGTCTTTTGGAGACTTGTTCCAGTTTTGAAGGCCTGGATGTGGTTGACTCTTAGGAGGAGTTTTGGAGGATCGATGTTGGATATGGCTTACTTGTGGAGTTTTCTCGTCCTAGTTATGACTAGGCATGGCCTTGAGGAATCGTAGTTCCAGTGGTTGTTTATAGATGGATCGAAATTGAGAAATTTTGATTTAGCTTGGTGTTGTCAAGTACGATTTTGAGAGACTCGTTCTATGACCTTGGTTGTCAAGATTTTGATGTGTGTGCCACTTCGTGGACTTGTATTTCGAGGATCTAGTTATCCGTGATAGGGATTTTGATCCGATGTTTGATTATGGTGAGTAGTCTTATAGTTGATCTATTTTAGGATGATATCTGGGATTTTGGAGATGATGTTTTGTTTGTCAGACTTTGGATTCGCAATTGATGTTGTTGATAATAGTGTTTTGAGATGTTAAAATTGTTGGTCTTTTTGTATTGAGGATTTAAGGCCTTAAGCGTAGCAGTACCTATGGCATTGTTGTCAGAGTTTTGAGATTAGCCAGGATGGTCCGGCCGGACATCTTTGGACTATATCTCAACTCTCACAAAATGTTGATTTCCGTAATGCTTTTGGTAATGATCATTTTTGACATTGAAGTCATTTGTATCGAGAGGTTTCACGGGTAGACCTAGTAGAGGCAGGTTATGAATTGGTGTCTTATACTGTCATGCTACCGTACAAGTTGTGTGCTGTGGGCGAGTGCTAGTTGTCGTCGATGCTACCTTACTGACGAGTAAGTGTGGGCGGACACTAGGAATTGTCATTGCTACCACACATTTGAGTACGTCGTGGGCGGGTTCTGGTCGCTATTCGTACTGTCATGTCGTCTTTGTTTAGTACTTTGATTTGATTCATAAATATCTTGGAGTTCTGTTGGTGGTTGTTTTTGGTTTCTTATGATGGCTCATCAGGAGGGGTGCTTTTGATTGTTGTCTTCCATTCCCTCGTCTGGCCTTAAGTTCTGTGTGTGAGTTTCGAATTGTGGTGTGGCCATATGATCACTTTTCTTTTGAGGGGTTGTCCTGTCGTGAGCACGTGGGTGCGAATGACATGGGGTTGTACGTTTTCTTCAGTTTTGGGATTGCTTTCGAAGCATGTTGTGAGGGATACTCAGAGATATACTCCGTAGTTATCCTAGTTTCGCCTTTTTGTTTTGTTGGGGCTAGATTTCGGGGACGAAATCCCTTTAAGGTGGGAAGGTTGTAATGACCCAGTCATTTTTCTTCCTTTTCTTTTTCTCAGATTTTAACTAATATTTTTTTTTCCGTTGTCTTTTTCTTTTTGGGTTTGGTTTTTCATCACTTGATGTCGTCTCGAGTGCTCTGGATTGATTTCCGAGACTCTTTTCCTTGCATTGACAACTTCCTTTGGGGATTGTGTCATTTTTATATTTTATTTTTCCGAACACTATTCACATTTTGTCTTTTTCTCGTTTATCCTTTTTCCTTGCACAACCTCACTTTTTGTGCTCGGATTTGATTCCGATTTTGCATGCATTCATAATATTTGATTTCCATGATAGTGGTATTTTTACTTTTCTAGAAGAGCATGTTGATTGCTTACTTCTTTCATAAAGGGGCATTAATGCATACTTTAGTGTAATTATTCTTAACTTGTGGGTTTTAGTGTAATTAAATAAAGTAATTATTTTTCATCTTGGGACCATTTTGTAATTAAATTTGGAGGATATTTTCAAAAAGGACCTTTTTGCAATTTTTGAAAAGTGTGACAAGTGTCACACTCTCATTGGTCCACTTGTTGACATTTGTGTGGAAACGCTTTACTGCATTGGATGATGACATTTGGAGGGTGAGGATTCACCCACTTGTTGGCCTAGGATTGGTGCACTTGTTGGCTTGGATGGTTGACAAGTGTAGGTGTGGGATTAAGCCTAGGAAGGAGCCATGGATTAGTGATAATTGTAGGTTCACAATTTAGTCTTACAAATATCTTTGGGCCACTTTGGGATTATGGTTTTAAAGAAGGGTTTTTGTGCAATTAACCATAGATGTGTGTGTTGACCATGGTGTAAGAGCACATAGTGAGTGGAGGATTTCTATTTCCTCCACTCACACTTAACTACATTATTTCATTCTCTTCCTTACAAGAAAACCCTAGCCTCCATGGATGGAGCTTGAAGCCTTAGGCATTGACCTTGATCTTTGAGGCCCTTCCACTTACTTTAGACCATAAAACTTCAAATACTTTTTGTTCCCCTCATCCTCCTCTTCAAAACCCTTGAAGGATCTAGCCTAACTCCTAATTTTGCTTTGGTATCTAGAGATTCAATTCTCTAGTGAGGTATTGATCTATTATTTGAAGTATTTTTATGTCATTATTGAGTGTTTTACATGCATGGAAGAGAAGGACTTGTATTTTGCCCTTAAATTATTTTAACTTGAAATTAATCTTGTCAAATTAAATATAGAATATGAAAATATACTCAATTAGCCTTCATTTAGTTTTGGTTTCATGTAATTTGGATTTAAAATGAATTAGTTATGAATTTTTGAAGTTGCAAGCTAGTTCCTGGAAATTTGAAGCTTTTCCTTTTTGGTCCGGAAATGAATTTTTATATGGAGTTTTGGTGCTTTAATTGCCTTGAAATTTTTATTGGAAGTTTCCCCATGGGTTTTACACTACTTAGAATTTTTTCACTATTTTAGAGCATTTCTAAAGTTTTTTAAAAAATCTGAAACTATCTGCTGTCCATGTTTTTATCGCAGCTGGAAAACATTTTTTTAGATGATTTATTTCACTAACCTTTTGACATTGGATCATGGCTTAAATTTTCATTTTTACACTCTCATATGTTTACTTCTAAAATAAATTAGGTTTGCCCAATTTGGATGTCAAATGAATTTTTCATGAATTTTCAAAGTTGGAAGCTACAGGCTGAAAATGTATTTTCTGGGCAGAATTTGTTTCAAAGTTGTGGGTCAAAACTGTTTCAATTGGGAAAATATTTTGTTAAACTAAATTGATATTATCAAATTAAAGTGTTTAAGCTTTCATTGGGCTTTGGATTCATTCAATTTGGGTTAGAATTGATTTTTTTATGAATTTTACAAGTTGAAGGTAGCAAGCTGAAAAATCTGTTTTGCGGACTGAAAATTTGGGGCGATTTCATTTCGGTGGTAATTGGGATTTTCATTCCAATTGAGGTAGGGAATGTTTTAGGATTATTTGTGTGTTGTATTGTGTATTTGCCATGATTATACAACATATATGTATGTCTTGTATCAAATCTATAAAGTTAGTAATTTTTATTTCTTTGTATAAGGTTTAAAATTTACGATGATGTATAACTTTGATTTGAATTGTAACATGCTAGGAAATTATACTTAGATATGTTGGTTAACATATATTAAATTTGGATTATTTGATTAAGAATTACAACTTTTATTTAATATTTATCTTTAGTGAAAGTTTTATTCACATGGTTGTATCAATCATTAAATCAAGTTGTAATGTGGTATTTAAATAAGCCTTGGCATGTTCTCTAACATAGATTAAATTGAGGGCATTTAGAATTGTTTAAAAATTTAGAGAAAATTAATTAATTAGCTTGATTAATTTTGTTTTAAGTGTTTTAATCACTTAACTTGTCATTTGATGTTATATATATGATGACCATGACATGTCTTTCAATATATATTAAATTGAGGTTATTTGGAATAACTTGGAATTTAGAGAATTTAACTATTTATGTTTAATTAAATTCTACTTTATTACTCCATGGATTTAATTGCATTTTGGAAATTGTTTCTATATTTAAATCATGGATTTGGATTTGATGTATGTTCACTTGATTACTTTTGAGCATTGGATAACATAGTTGTTACTTTTATAATCATGAGAATATGTTTTTCCTTATTGAATATATTGTTGCTATGTGTAAGAAATTGCACACTTTGTATTTGACATCTTACATGGCATAGTAATTGTGAATTTTGAGCATGTATTGTATAAGTTTCCAAAATTTGGATTGTGCTTGGTAAATAGTTGATATCTTGTATATACATGTTGATATATATATACGTTATTACACAATTTGTTGATTTTGGAAACTTGGGGATGTCGTTGTTTGGCTACGGCTAGGATTTGGTTCTAGTACGGGGGATTGTCCCTCTATATAGTCTAGTGCGCACATAGGGAGGTTACCCATGGGTTAGTAACCCTAAAGTAACTATGTTGTCGGTCTGATCCGACGTGACGTCCGAGTATCCACTTTGTTTGATTTCGTATTTCATTTCAAGTTGATAACTAGATGATATCGTAACTTGTTGTTCCTTATTTGATTTCCTATTTTGAGCTTAAGATGTAGCTTTGTGAAAGCATGCTTCATGCGTTGTATTGGAAGTTCCATTGTTGGTTAAATTGTATCGATATCATAATTTGTGTTTTGATGTTCAAATGTAGTTTAGGAATGACTTTATAGATTCATTTTGAACATAGACGTTAGGTGGCATGACCCACACTTGTTGTTTTCGTATTTTGGATTTCAAGTTGAAGACTTTGAGAATCTATATCTTATTGCCTTGTATAATATGTTTCCATGTTGTTTGAATTGCATGAATAATGTGATTATGATATAAATGATCTAGGTTGCTTAGGATGCTCCCTGGGTCTCATCTTGACATAGACGTTAGGTGGCATGAGCCCCTTTAACATGTTTCACCATAAGGTGATAAAATTATAAAATGGTAGGTCGATGCATGTTCATCTCCTACGAGTAGCTTTATATTATTCACCCCTACGATACTGGGGCATATTTTAGGTACATGACTCAGGATTTGAAGATTCCATTGCTCCTTGGATGGCTTACAGTTTCTAAGTTTCTATTTTTTGCAAGTGTTAGCATAAGATGCCTCTTTATAGCCTTATTTGTTTAAACTTGTATTCGTTGATTCGTATATGTAAAGTGTACGTAAGTGCGCTCTTTTCAATGTATTTAACATGTATGAGATGAGGCCGGAGGCCAATGACATGTATCTCGTTTTCTATGCACTTTTGTTTTCAAAGCTTATTATGAAAATATTGGAAAAGTTAAGTCATTACTTTAAAACTTTCGCATCGGGTGTTGGAATTTCATATCTTTTCTGCCTGGACTCAGAATCAGACGATTCTTGAGTCTAATTTTGTTCATTTTTCGTTGTCCTTACAATGGTGTGCACGGTGGCACCCTTTTAAGTGAGAAATGACCATTTTGCCCTTAGTTCATCTCTTTTCGGGTTAAGCATTCTTGCTTCATTTGCTTGACTCATTTGAGTTCCGTGGCTTCATGGAGAGTCATTTTGGGGCCTTAGGGATGACGTACATCTCTTGAGGTCATTTGGTTTCTTTCGCTTCCGCATTTCGGGTCCGTTATCGGGTCAACTTCCAGTTCATCACTAAAGCACCGGGTTGAGAAATCCGGGTCGTTACAATGAGAACCTCAATTCGAGAGTTTTCACACGGGGATGGGGAAGCGTTCTATGAGGCATGGGAAAGATTTAATGAATTGCTTAGGAAGTGTCCACATCATGACATGTCCAAATGGCAATTAGTTCAATATTTCTTTGAGAGGTTATCTGACAATAATTAGGGCATGGTTGATGCTTCCATGGGTGGCTTTTACATTGATAGGCATGAGGATGACATGTGGCGTCTTTATGAGAGCATGAGTGAAAATTCTTTGCATCGAACTTTATCTTCTAAGAATGGTAGGAATTCATGTGGAAGGAAGGGTGTTGGCTTACATCAAGTTGACCATACCAATGAAATAGCCACTGGGATGAAATCCTTATCTCAAAGGTTTGATCAATTCTTGATCAACCAAAACTCAGCAAATCAAGTATCTTCTATCCCTAGCCATTCCCATCATGCATCCAATGAGACATGTATGACTTGTTCAAGTGTTTTACATTTTACTTCCAATTGTCCCCGTGGACATGTGCAAAGTGAGCATCATGAACAAGTCAATGCAACTTTTGTTAATCAAGGGAACAATCCTTATGACAATCATTATAATCCTAGTTGGAGGAATCACCCGAACTTCTCTTGGAGAAACCAAGGGGAAGGCTCAAACCCTCCCCAAGGTGGTTTCCAAGGGAAGTATGTTCCACTTCCGATACAAAGCCAAGGTTCCCAAGGTTTTAAATCATCATTTCAATCACAAGGAAATCAATTTGCTAATTCTCATTTTCCTAATCAACTATCATATTCTCAAGGAAATTCTAGGAGTCCCGCTTTTGAAGAGAAAGTTTTGACCGCTCCACTCTAGAGGCGAACACTCAATTGCTTCATTCTCATTCTCAATTCATTGCTAAGCTAGAAACCCAAGTAGGGCAAATAGCTAGTACTTTAAATGCTAGAAAGAAAGGGAAAATGCCTTTGAATGCCCCACCCAAGTAACAATGTGTTGTGGAGACTCATTCCTTATCAGAAGGTCACACAATATAGCATGTCAATGCGGTGACTACCTTGAGAAGTGGGAAGATTGTGGACAACCAAATAGGCATGTCCAACGAAGAGAGTGAACTGGTGCAACACAAAGTTGACAATTGTCCCGTTTCTTATCATATTCCTCCTTCATTGCATATGATTGATCTTTCAAATGAGAATGTATTGAAAAGTGATTTGAAAGGTGATTTTGAAAAGAAAAATTTGCAAAATGATTTCAAAACTTCTTATGTTGAAGAGACTTCAAAGAAAATTTCTGAAAAACGTTTTGAGCCAAGAGCTCCATTTCCAGATGCCTTAAAATGATCCATTTCAATTAACAAGCAAAAGGCCAAAACAAATGAAATTATGGATGTGTTTAGGCAAGTGAAGGTCAATCTTCCACTTTTGGATGCAATCAAGCAAATTTCAGCTTATGCCAAGTTTTTGAAAGACTTATGCACCCAAAAGAGGAAGAACAAAAGCCAAGCACCTAGGAAAGTGGTCTTAACCGAGCAAGTAAGCTCAATTTTGCAACATAACACTCTTCCAAAGTTCAAAGACCCTGGTTCACCTACCACTTCATGCATAATTGGAGATCATATTATTAATCGGGCTCTTCTTGACTTAGGAGCAAGTGTTAATCTTCTTCCACACTTGGTATATGTCAAATTAGGTTTAGGAGACTTAAAACCGACATCTGTGGTTTTGTAACTTGCCGACTGATCCATCAAAAAGCCCAAGGGTATCACTGAGGATGTATTGATTAAGATTGATAAATTCTTCTTCCCCGTTGATTTCATTGTCATTGACACGGAACCGGTCCCAAATCCTAAGAGCCAAATTCTCGTTATCCTTGGCCGTCCTTTCTTGGCAACCGCGAATGCCAACATTAATTGTAGGACGGGGATAATAAAGATCTCATTTGGCCACATGAAGGTGAAGTTGAATATCTTCAATCCGACCCCCAATTCATTTGATAAGCATGAAGAAGTGAATGTTATAGAGAAATATCATGACCTTGAATGTGAAGGAATAGAGTCTTTGTGTGAAATCAAAATTCTAAAAAGTTCATCTTCAACCCTGAATTCCAAGAAAGTAGTTTCAAAATCTTGTTTTGAAAGGGCATAGAAGCCCAAAGATCATTTTGACCAAGGACCAAAAATTTCTTTTAAGCCTAATCCAACAAGTTCTCTAGGGAACCATTTGTTGGGTGGAGTTCAAAGCACTTATCACCCCATCAAGGAGGGGATGCACTACAAGATGTTTGACCCGGGCTAAAAGAGCCCAACGTCTTGCTAGAGATGTTAAAGACTAGTACATTTCATAGGGTGTCACAACCCTATTCCTCCCTCATTTCTATTTTAAATTTCTTGTGAGGTCTAGATATTTGGTTTAGGTTCATATACATTGCTAGGAACTGTGATTAGGATTGCATGTACTTTCATGTTGAAAATGATCATTTTGCATAAGTTCAATCGATCTCCAAGGAGGTTCGATCGATCGAACCTGCATCAAATCACCTCTCTGTCCAATCGTTCGAAGGAAACCTACATATTTCAGCTCTCTGTCCCATCAATCAAACTTGTTCCTAGATCGATCTTTAGTTCTTCGATCGATCCAACTTTATCTTGGATCGATTTGCAGTCCAAACACTTAGAAAATTTTTGAACCTGTATCAAAAGGCCTCTCTGTCCCATTGATCGAACATGTTTGCAGGTTTTTACATGTTCGATCGATCGGAGTTCATCTGAGATCGATCTCTATTCTTTGATTTACTGTTTATGTTTGATTTTTGTTTTGAATTTCAAATCTAAAAAAAAAAAACAACAACAATTTTGTCTTTTAGTGAAGAGAGATTGATCACAGTTCGATCGATCGAACTGGTAACGGGATTTTTTAAAAAAAAATCAAATCTAGGGTTATTAGATCGATACCACAGATCGATCTAACAACCTCACCATCGTCCTTCGCCGCTGCAACTCACTTCCCCACCTCTGGCGAGTCTACCTCATCTCGAATCTCTCTCCCTCATCTCGGACCTCAGATCTCATCTCCCTTTCATCTCATCTCTCGGTTTTAGGTAAGATTTGAAACCCCTCTTTTGATTTCAAGCTTTATTTTCATGAATCTATGCTTTCCATGTTAAATCTATGATGTTTTAATGATGAATCTTGCCATTGATGAAGCTTTGAAGCTATGTATATATGTGTATATATATGTATATATAGGTTTTATATTTTTTTTATTTTAATCTTGATTTTGGGGGTCACGAGCTAAGGAAAGTGACCAAAAATGTTGATTTATTGTGTAGAAGGGGCCCACAAGCTTGTTTGTGAGGACCCTGTGCCATCCACGTCACAGATCTGTAACTTTTCGAATTTTACCTCACAGTTCGATCAATCGAACTTTTTCTCAGACCAATCTATAACAGATCGATCTCACTCATTCAAGATCGATCAAACTTGCATCGATCTCACATTTTTGTGATCGATCGAACTTCACAGATATGCATCACACATTTCACACACCATCTTTAATGTTTCATGCTATCTCATATATGCCCAATGCCTGTGTTTTCTACATTGGATGCATTCCATACTTATACTGTCTAGCATGCTTCACATCATGTCACTTATTCCTTGTCATTTGCATAGATTCATGTTCCTTATCTGTTTTGTCTATCTTATTTGACATACATGATTCTATAAACTGTTCTTTAATTCTTTATACCGGCACTGACTTCCTTTTTGCAAGTTTTCCTTTTATTTTGCAGGCCATAGCTAGGGTCAAGACTGTTGCTCGTGGACATTACCACCGCATAGCCAGGCGGAGATTAGACGACCAGGCAGGTCTATCTCACGTCCAGGACCCCATTCATGAGTCCGAGCCAGAGCCCTCTCATATTCAGTAAGAGCCAACACAGCCTACTCCACCTTAGTCTCCATCCGCTGACAGTAGATTACAGTCTTCGGCTGAGGCATCTGTTTCACAGGCTGATGCTGAGGATGAGCACATACCATTTCCATCACCACCACCAGCTCAGCCAACCCAGGACTTAGACTGGCCATTGTCGAGATACTCATGCTTTCAGGTGGCGCATGAGTCGGTCTTTGATATTAACTACTTCTCCCGGTCTATTCTTACCAGAGCAGCATATGATGATATAGACTGGAGGGCCATCTCAGCCATACTAGCCCCTGTCACATACCCAGTGTACCCGAGGTTGGTTTGGATGTTCTTCTAGAACCTCCGACCTGCCCCGAGTAACCTAGCGGAGCTGCGGACTACCATTGACGGCCACCCCATCAGTATCACTATGGACATTCTTTCCAGATCTTACTGCTGTCCACACGTCTACCCTCCCGATCTCCAGGATACATATCCTACCCTATGGAGGCCCTCATATGCAGACATGGCCGTTGCACTCACAGGTCACTATGCAGGTGGCG